CACACACACACACACACACACACACACACACACACACACACACACACACACACACACACACACACACACACACACACATATATATATATATATATTGTACACGGTGCATATACATACTTGCATGTTATATGCACGGTACATATATATACATACATATGTTATATACACGGTACATATACATACATATGTAGTATACACTGTATATATACATACATGTGTATTGTATACACGTACATATATATTCATATATATATATTATACACGATATATATATACATATATATATTATACACACGGTACATATGCATACATTTAGATTATATACACGGTATATATACATACATATATATTCTATACACGGTATATATACGGTACATATACAATCATATATATGCCTAAATTATTTTGTGCATGTATATGCACAGATTTCCAGGTGTGTTTTTGTGCGTGTTTTGAAGTATTGTGGTTGCATTTGTCTACGCTAGTATATCTTTTTCCTCGTCAATGTTGGGATAGGTACATTAAACGGCTGGGAACAACAAAGGAAGAATTCTACTGAGAGTTTCCGCTCTTCTCTTTAGTCTTTTGGAGATGGTTTCGGTCTCCTAGTTTCTAAACCAATGCACCTGGTGTATCAGAGTGTTGGGCTATGGATAAAAAAGTGGTCAGTCTGCAGTAGCACCTCTTACTATCACTATCACGTCTCTCTCTCTAACATATATGTTTATGTACTATATAATGACTGCGGGTGGGCTATGCAGCGTGCTATGATACGGATAAGTTGTGGACATACGTGGACTTGAGAACGCAATATACTACTCCATCTATGGCAACAAGCACACCCCACACTCCCATGCGCATGGCCATACGAATTCGTTCTATGTACACCCGGACTTGCTTCAGATTCCCCGTTAATACGTTACAGACAAGAACATTTGTATCTTTATAGCCACCCCACAATCCCATGCACATGCCAATACGTTCTATGTCACCCGGACTTACCCCAGATTACCCGTTAATACGTTACAGAGTGAGGCGTACAAGGACATCCCCATCTTCAAGGGCAAGCACACCCCCCATGCCACCTTCACCGACAACAAGGAGCGGTTACAGTTTGGCACAATGAACTTTTTGGGCTTAATCGGAAACCCGCGAGTGGAGGAATCGGCAGAAAAGGCAATCCGTAAATACGGAGTAGGCTCATGTGGTCCCAGAGGATTCTACGGCTCTATTGGTACGTGAAGGGGCTGTAGTTGCAAGTGCTATGCACAGGGGGTTAGAGGTGGATATGCTGTGTGTACGGGTGGTGTGTGTTTGTTGTTGTTGGGTGAATGTGGTGTGTGTTTGTTGTTGTTGGGTGAATGTGGTGAGTGCTTGTTGTTGTTGGGTGAATGTGGTGTGTTTGTTGTTGTTGGGTGAATGTGGTGAGTGCTTGTTGTTGTTGGGTGAATGTGGTGTGTGTATGTGTGGTGTGTGTATGTTGTTGTTGTTGTGTGGGATGGGCTGGGCTCATGTGGGCCCAGAGGGTTCTATGGCTCTATTGGTACGTGAACGGTCAGTAGTGACAGCCGCTTTGCGTATGTGTGCTTGCTGTGTGTTCACGCATCTGATCGCTTTACCGGTAAGAGACAACAAGTAGTGTCACCGAACACGCACTGTGGACTAGACTGGGCACTCCGGTATATACACACACACACACAGATAGCCTATACAGACACACACACAGATAGCCATGTATGTACTAGATGAGGCATGTACATGCAGCACTGAAGCTATATGTGGGAACGTTGACATTCGTCTCCCGAGGTTTGATGTGTACGTATGCACGTGGATGTATGCGAGCAGCGTTCACTGAGCCATGTACACCGAGGAGCGTGGTATGTAGACACCTCACTCGGACTCAGTGGGCCACACAGACTATCCCCTGTGTACGTACTAAACACACCCTAAACCCTAAACCCTTAAACCTGAAACCCTAAAAAATCCTAAAACCCCAAACCCTAAACGAACAACGTTTGCTTCTGTGACACATGCAGATGTGCATCAGGAGTTAGAGCTGCGGCTGGCGGACTTTCTGGGAACGGAAGAAGCCATTCTGTATTCGTACGGGTTTGCAACCATTGCGTCGGCTATCCCTGCGTACTCGAAACGCGGCGATGTTATTTACTGGTATGTATATAT